GAAAGGGTGATTAAAGTTCAGCGTGTCACGTATGGCAGGCCGGCTATTAGGCAATTAGAGCACAAGCAGGCAAATATCCTTGAAAGGGGAGTAATTAATTGTCTGAAGTAAGCCGTAGCATAGCGATTGCATCCCGTAAATATCTAGCGTACAACTGACCTTAATTGGATGATGCCTCTGAAAATGGCTTCGAGCTGGAATCTAAAACGTCTGGCGATCGCACCTGTTTCTTCTCAGTCATGGCTTTACCTGAGTGGAGTAATCGACGCGTTTAAACCTTGGCATACATGTTTCGCGTTAAGGAAACGTTCGCGGAAAAAAGGCATCCATATTCGAGCTGTCTACATTTGAAACTATGTCCACTCCACCCAAAGCTAAGCGACTTGTAGGGGTAACCTCCACCGGCAACAAAAACATTTACTTCCGACAAAAAACACAGATCGCTAGGGTTATTTGTGACGAAATAGCTTAACCCAAAGCAGGTGTTGAGGACGAAAAGCTATTCCTTTTGTGCTGGTGTAAGTCATGAATGCTTGCTCATCCTGTAGGAAATACTGCATTGGAAAATTATTTAAAAAAGGCATTTTCTGCTTGGTTTTAAGGTCGCTGTTGATCAGGTCAAGGGAGAAAATTAAAGCCTTTTATTTAGAAGAGGACTTAAACGCGTATAAACTGCCCCAGTCATTGCCAATACAAGCGAACATGTTCCAGTCCCTACACGTTTTGAATGCTGAGCAGACTGTAATGACACATTTTCAAAAGCAGTCTAACAGAACGCTATCGTTAGCAGATGCATTGTAAGTCATCAAATTCACTTATTGTTTTAGCATAAGCTCCTCCACATACAAAACATTCACGTGCAAGTAACTCTTGAAGGTATGTGGAACGCGATATATCTGTTAGACCTCTGGCTCTGGAATATACTACCAGGCAGGGTTCTTCTTGTGACACGTTTAATGCTGTCAGATAAAGCGCAATTTCGGTGTTCTGTATTTGTAACCTAGACAGTCCAACATCTTCCTCAATGTATTAGTCTGCATTACAATTAGTTTTTTTGTGCTGCATTAGAGCTTGTCAGCTATTCTCCATTTGTGACTGCCCTAACAATGTCAGAATATTTGCAGGAAAAAGCCTCTCGCGCCATTTTACGAATGAAGACAGATCTTAAAATGTATTGGCACATTATTTGCCATTGAGACTATTATCTGTGCGTTTTTTCACAGAAAAAATCTAACCTTCGCAAATGACAAGAAGCCCAGAAAATAACTGATGTTAGCACAAAAGTATGCAGAATCTTGAAAAAAAACATTTTCAGCATTTTGTTTAATTCTTCAAAAAACCTGCATTGATTAAAACATAAGTAACGTTCAGATAATTTACAGCATTACGTTTTGAAAAGATGTTCGAGAAAAAAGCCTGTGCTGTTATTGTGGTGAATCGTTCAGTAATTAAAAAAGGACGCCTGCAGATGGTGTGTTATCTGGGACGTAACTGCTGGCTTGTAATAGTTGACGAATGCCCTATTGGGATTTTAAACACGGACACCCTTTTGCCGAAGTTCGCATTCAAATATATGCAAGGGTACCGTTGTTATAAATACACCGTTTTAAGTATTGCTGAAGCGGAAGAATAATATCTCTACATATGTTTAAGACGTTTTAAGTCCTCATGCGTGATCAGGCACAGTGTCCACAGGTAAATACTACTGCACAGAAGACCGAAGAGTCGACCGATTCCCTCTCAAAGAGTGACTGGCGCAGAGATGACTGGTAAGCGCTTAGATGCCGGTGATGCGAGAAAAACGAAGCTCTTATTTAAGCGTATCACTCATTAGTGTCTGTATTATATAACGGATACTTTTAGAGAGTAAATTATTTATTCTAGATTTACAAACTGTGCTGACATAATTAAAACGCTAGATCCGATGTCAAAGGTTTGTAGAACAAAATATTATCACTTTTGCACTCGGCGTAGTATTAACGGAGTGTTTATAGGAATAAAGTCAATTATGCATTCATACTGATTTCACATAATTTCCTGCTTCTGAACGAATTAAAGTTTTTTCGTCATATGTTTCAAGCGTCACATATTCCTCTTGGTTTATTTGCACGACAATCAGGTCATCAGGACGAGGCGCTAGCGCCGTTTTTAAAGCAGTACAAATTGGCGTATATTTGACGAATAAACCAAGGACATTTATCCACCATGTCGAAAACTGCGGATTATGGATTGCTTTTGATTTCCGGGTGAATGAAATTTTCAAAATAAAGTTTATCTCTCTCTCATGATTTTGCCTAATGTAACATCGTAACTAAGGTTTTCAGGGATTGCGACCTATGTATGCATAAAATATTTGCACGTTATGTAGACGAGTACACGGTATTTGATCTACCAGGCTGCCGCTTAGCTGTCATGTATTAAGATTTGCATGAATTCTTTGGATACATACTTTAATTATCACACGGAAATCGTAATACAGCATTTCCTTTTAATGATTTTATTTTTGAAGTGGGGATGCCAAGCATCATCAGACTACATCTTAACTGAGCGACTACTGTAAAGAAATCTTGAAGTTGCTAATGAAAGCGAAAATGCTAGTCCCATGAATTAATGGGGAAGAAGATTCTATCGCTGGGCCAACATTTTTATTCGCCTGACGTTTCGACCTCCATCGCGGATTCGTCATCAGATACATGTAGCTTTTTCTGTTACTATTTTCTTGCCCTTGCCTCATATTAAAGATTTGCGACAGAGGTCGAAACGGTAAGCGAATAAAAGTGTTGTCCCAGCTTTCGAATCTTCTTTTACTCAACGTTTAAATGTATAGCCTGACTAATATACGCTAGAAATTTCATTGCAGGTACGATGTTGCGGAAATGATGCTACTAACGGGTTAAAATACACCAAATTTTCCTCTTAATAGTGAAATTGTTTGCTAGCGACGAATGAACTGGTTCAGATTGCTTAAGGGCTGTATGCAGTGTAAGCGCATACGGGTGCTTTCAGTAACTTTTCCTAAACAGCGACAAACCCAAAGCAGTATTTTGTGTATGAAAATAACAAAAAAAACTTCGCAGTATCAAACATTAAGAACGTACAGCATCCGAGGCTCCCACGATTGTTTCCACGGACTGGTACATGTCCTGGTACATATCTTCCCTATCCTCCTCTTCTTCCACGACCCGCTCTTCATCATCCAGACAGGTCACGAAGACGGGGGAATCCTCTGCATACTCCAACGTTGTAGTAGAAACCACAGAGGGCCTCTTTGCCCTTAAGGTTGAGTCGTCAGACTCTGTCCCCTCGCTGCCATCCCGAGTTATTAACGATGCCTGCCCACCATCCACAGGCAAGTCTTCCTCACAGGAAAGACTTTTACGCATCTTATGACGTCGCCTGCGTTCCCGTCGTCTCGCCTGACGATCATCATACATGGCTGAA